CTTGAATTTTCTCCACAACTACTTGTTTGATCTCTTTTAAGTTTAATCTTATATATATAATATCTCTTAGGTTTTTGTCATTTTTTTCACTCGCTTTTAAGTAAAACAAAGAGCGTGATGCACAAGCAAATCAAAAGTTGGAGACACCACGGATATCCGTAATTGAAATTGAGTTAAAATAACCTACTAATACATCGAGAAAGTAGCTTTATGAAGATTTATCTTTAAGTGTTATTTAATTTCGTTCTGACCTCTTAAGAACAAACATTAAATTTAAATTATCAGAGGCCAACATTAATAAATTTAACCCTTGTAAGTTAAATTTCCTTAGTAGCTTTTTTGGTCTTCACTTAGAATATTCCTCCGTAACAACTCACTCAATGTTTTTTTAGAATCTCTTTTCAAGATCTTTAATTCGGTTATTCTTTATTAGCTCTAATTTAATTTTTTTAATTCCTGTCACAATAAATTCTTCAAATTTAATTGAGGTTGCTTTAAATTAATAGTAGGTTAAAATACCTTTTCGGGGTGCTTGCATGATAATCAATAATCTCAGGGTTGAGAGACACAATATCTCTTTTGTTATCATTCAAAAAAAATATTTAGTTAAATTATATTGTTCCAGGAAAAAAATTTAATTTTTTTTATTCCAAAGAGGTGGAGGCACTTAAAAATCCTTGCCCCAGTCATTATAGGCACTCACTCATTCATAACTCTTTTATTACACGCGCGAACCGTAGACCCTAGATAACCTTAAAGTAAAAGACAAACAAATTCTAGTCAATAAAAATAATCTTATACACCCAAAAACCTGGAATTTCCAAATTCAAAAGAAACTACTCCCAACTTCTTAATCATCTAACTAATAAAATAAATTAGATATAATTAACTGAAGTTAAATTTCCTAGTAGCTTTTATCTCTTGAATTTTCTCCACAACTACTTGTTTGATCTCTTTTAAGTTTAATCTTTTATTTTTATTTCTTTTATTTTAATTCCTTAAATAAATTCTCTTAATTGGTTGTTTAAATAATAGTAGGTTAAAATACTTTCGGTGCTTGATATATAATTCTCGGGGGAACAATATCTTTTTTTTATCATCAAAAATAATTTTTATTAAATTATATTGTCCAGGAAAAATTTATTTTATCCAAATACTATCCCAAGTCATTAGGCCTCTCATTTACACGCAACCTAACCTAGATAACTTAAGTAAAAAAAATCTAGTCAAAATATCATATACACCAAACCGGAATACATCAGAAACTATCCAAAACTCTTAACACAGCTAAAAACTAAATTGTCATAATAATATAAAAAAAAAAAAGAAAAAATACAAAACTAGATGTAGGTATAGCCCACCTACTGCAAATTGTTTTCACAACCAATCATATTAAGAAATTGCAGTCCAAAAGATTTACATATTGTTCTTTTCATCATTATAACCAAACAAGAAAATATTAATGAATTTCAACTCCCTTTTTAGTCAATGAATCTACAAAATGATTCTGTTTTCTACATATATGTAAGAATTGAACAGAACATAAAGATCCAGATATGCTATCAAATCTATTAAATAATAATCTCCACCTCCAAGATATTTTTTTTTAATTTAAAACCCAAGACACAATAGATTTTGAATCAGATTCAATAATTCATGGTGAGAGTTTGAACTGAGATTGAGAAAATAATTCTATAGCCCTGAAAATTGCTCTTAGTCCAGCTTCATTAGAATCAATAATACTAGCTGATTGAAAAAATAGACTCTTTACTTTACCTTTATTGTTCCGTAGCACACCTTACCACACTTTTATTGTTACGATTTTGTGCACTTACGAATTTGCCTGTCAACCTTCGCACTCCAGTTATTAGTTTTATAAATAACACTCGTACTCTCCAAGTTAAATTCTAATGGATAAGAAAGATATTTCTCATTTTCATTTAGGGATCAATCATAATTCTGAAAACTGAAGCGAATTGGCCGATTCAATCGGTTAACCAAGAATCAGATTGTGGTCCGGTCTGAATTGGATAGTGAAATCGGGAGGTTAAAATATCAGAGAGAACCATTGAGAACTAGACAAAAACCAGTGAACCGGACTATCATTTTATTATGGTTCGATTCAAAAAAAAATTAAAAAAAAAAAAGAGAAAATATGAGGAACTTAGATATAATTGCAAAAAGCTTGCTTAATTATGGATCGGAAGTCTTTAGTCAGACTTTTAAGAATCCGATTTAGTGAACGTCTACATCCACCGATTCAGTGACCAATTAATCTGGTTCTCAGAACATTGGAATTAACCATGTTATAAATTATTTTTATTAAAAATGTAAATGATTATGTTTTTCTTTAAATTCAACTCTTTTATTACTTTGTTTTGTATTTTAAAGAGTTATGATTTAGGAATTTTGCATATTCAAAAATTTCCTTGTATGTCAAATTTCTTTTATTTCTTCTTGAAAATATCTCTATTCTTATTTAAACATTTCAAATTTAAATTTTTTCATTAATTTAAACTATGCTTTGATTTGAGAAGTTCGAGCTCCCTAAGCCATTATAAGTCTAGCGAAGGGATACGTTTACCATGTAACATCATTATATTCCGACCTATTTAGCCCCCCAATAAATAAATAAAAATATTTCAATTACTTAGGTTGATGTTGTATTATTGTGAAAATTATTTATTTATTAGAAAATAAATGTTATCAAGGCATCTATAAAAATAAACTATTCATCATTGAAAGTAAATTGTTTTCGTAGCAAAGAAACAAAATATTGAACTTAAAATACCTATCAGGCTCAAACTAGCAACTCAAAGGTGCATAGCAATTTCAAATCGTAGCTACATGTTAGCTTTCTAGGCAAAGTTTTATTACTACTAATTCAACAAAATATATATATATATATATTAAAAATACCTATCAAGGCCTCAAACTAGCCACACTCACAAGGTGCATAGGCAATTTCAAAATCGTAAGCTACATGTTAGCTTTCTAGCAAAAGTCTCTATTTATATAACTAACTTTAATTAAAAATTCAAACAATGATATATATATATATATATAGAGGTTCTAAAATTTCTATTAAGAGTCACCATGTAATTTTTTTTTTCATATATGAACTGAACATACACTAAAAGAAGGATTTTACAACAAATTACACATATAGCATCAGAGTACAATTAATTAACACCAACTATTCAATCATGCAAGAATATATATATATATATATATTCTAAAATTTATTAAATACATGTATTTTTTTTTTCATATATATGACAAATAAAAAGAAGGTTTACAAATTACATATAGCTAGAGTACAATTAATTAACACAACTAATTCATCATGCAAGATTTCCATATCATGCCTTTTATTTTCTATTACAATATTTATAATTCAATTGCCAAACCTTCACGTTCCTTTGACATTTACAGGTAGAATTAATTAATTAACCCGTTCAAATAGGAAAGGAAATGCAGGACCATCCAATACCAACAATCTCTTATCATTCTCAATAAAAATACCAGCAGACCCACATCTTGGCTTGCAATTAGGGCAAGATTCAGTTGGGCAATATACAAAATTATAATCACCTCCTCCATTATTTTCGATCTTAAAATAATCTGGCTGTCCTGCAGTCAAAATAAATCGTCTTCCGATTTCTGGTTCCTCATCTCCAACTCTCCAAGCAGTAGATTGAATACAAATAGTAAATGCTTGAAATGTAACGGTCAAGTCCCTAGACTCTCTGATTATTGTCTCTCCGTCTGCGTAGGGCTTGAATTTAACCGGAAGACGCTCCGTTATGTTGGCAGTAATCGGATCTTGACCAACGTACAATGGGCATGAGTTGTTGCGATCAATTAGGGTTAAAGCACCAGCAACATCGGTAATTCCAGGCAATATGTAGTATTCCACGTCAGTTTGGACAGGCTGCCCGTTGGTGTCTAGCACCGCAGGCTGAGCGATTATGCCTATAGCCATGGAAATCAGCCATATGGTGAAGAAATCAATTGGAACTGATTTCATAGTGTTTGAATGCTAAGAAAACAAGAATTCTGAATGTTAAATTTTGGTATAAGTTGCTATTTTCATTTGTTGCATAGGCTTGGTATTTATACAAGTACCAAATGTATGTGAACGGTCTAATTAATGAGGATTTTTCTATTAGTCATTATCTAATTGATGATTGCTTGTACCATAAGTAATTAATTGTCCTAATTTTTGAAACCCTTGACGATTAAAAGTCATAATGTAAAAAAAAAAAAAAAAAAAAACTATTTTTCATTTGTTGCAAATAGGCCTTTTTTCGGACATATTGTATAATTCACAAAGGTTAAAACCTTCCTTTCAATATAGAGTGATGTGAAACGGTCTTATAATTGAGAAGTAGTGAAGGATTTCTATTAAGTTTGCATAGATAATCTTGTGGAATATGTAAATGATTTGCGCGTTATGTCACACAGAATTATTAGTAAAATTATAATATGTACCTAAATTTTTGAATTTACCCTATTTTTTTTTAGAGACGAAATTCTATAGAGTCATTAATGTAAAAGAGAAATAAAAAAAAAAAGAAAAAGTCTTGAGGAATACAGGTTTTGACTAGAGAACAAGTTTTTCAAAGTTTAATAATTAAGTTTATTATTATAATTTATTTTTATGGATCAAGATTTTATATTACCCCAGACTAGATAATTACTTCCTTTCACCTAAAGCAAACATTTAATCTGAGAAGAACTTTCCAAATAGATTACAAGTCTGAGATGATAAGTAATTTTGTTACGGACAATTCACATTAGGTAAAAATGATTGGTAATGTATAAATCAATATCAAAAAACAACAAACACAAAAATACGATATAATACACATTGATAATAAAAAAGGTAAAGACGAAGAGAAGAGTGGGATAAGAAGATCAATGGTTTAATTGATTTATTGAAAAAAAAAAAAAAAAAAAAAACAAAGAAATAAAATATAAAAGGAAAGAGAGAAGAGTGGATAAGAGATCATGTTAATTGATGTTATTGAATCAAAGTTCTGAGTGCTAATTGAAGAAGACAAAATCTTGGAACCTAATTATGAAGTCAGAAACTAATTGAGCCTCCTATAACAATGACTAGAAAAAACAAAATCAACTAAAAAAAATCTAAGACGATGGTCTATATATAACGATAGGACTCCTCACACTATGTCTGGTATCATTCCACTCAAGCAAAGCTGATAAGGTCTGTATCCCATTACGCATCACACCACCCTTAACTATAACCATAAAATTTTGCTTTTGATGCCGTTTTGTAAATGTTAAAGTTTCTGGAACAACTTTGACTGAGAGTCCCTTTTCAGCAGTCACAATTGCTTTATACACTGAACTTCCATACGCGACATTAGTCACCGTTCTGTAGAACACTGCAGAAATACTGGAGTTGACAGATTCTAGTTGTTTGTGCATTGAAGGGTAGTTGAGGCCATCTGTGCCTTGTGCTGGTCTGAAGTTGGTGCAATTATACCTTCTCTTGCCACCAATTAGTATACCGATCGTTGTGCTGTTATAACCTTCCTTGCATAGGAAACTAAGGTAGGAACTCATTGAAATATCATATATAAGGCCAGGATGTACTGCACTTCGTGGGTTTATTTGGCCTGAGCCAGAACTTAAATCTGTGTCTTTATCTCTGATCGTTAGAGGTGTGGCTGAATCAATGAGAATGACATATTAATTAATAATAATCATGTATTTTTAAAAACCTTCAATTGGATTTCATAAATTTGAATCAAGGGTTTAAAAAAGTGTCACCAGTAGTCATTAAGGCGGACTTGATAGCCGCCGGAGACCAGTCAGGGTGAAAGGTCTTGACGTAAACAGCAGCTGCAGAAGCATGAGGACAAGCCATAGATGTTCCTGACATAATGTTGAATGGGGCATGTCGATTGTCGATTGCTTCTCCAGTTATTGATGTCAATCTAGAGCTAGCAGCTAAAATGTCTACTCCTGGTGCAACAAGATCAGGCCGTCCAGTGGAAATTTTTGGTCAGATATATTTTGAATGAGAAATTTATGTTAGAAACTGTTTGTGAGGCCTATGAAACACATCCAAACTTACATGTTCTTTAAAGCTTTTTGGACCATCCAAACACTACTTAAAATGTGAGGTTAACAAATTTTCTTTGGGGAAGCTCATAATCAGTATTTAATATTGTAAAGATGAAATTTTAATTAAAAAAAAGTTAGACTAACCTTGAGGATGTTGAGGTTAAGTACTTGAGGTCCTCTACCAGAAAAAGTTGCCAAAGCAGGAGCTCTAGCTTTGACAGTTCTTGTCTTGTATATAAAAGTTGCCAAAGCAGGAGCTCTAGCTTTGACAGTTCTTGTCTTGTATATTAATTAAAAAAAAGTTAGACTAACCTTGAGGATGTTGAGGTTAAGTACTTGAGGTCCTCTACCAGAAAAAGTTGCCAAAGCAGGAGCTCTAGCTTTGACAGTTCTTGTCTTGTATATCATAGCTTGAGGATTCCTACAAAAAATTAATCCATTCCAAACTTAGATTTTAATGAATGCAAATAAAACATGTATAGGGCTGAGCATAACATGGATAAATCAAATAAAGCAAAATGAATAAATTGGTTCAGTTTGGTTCTAAAATATTCAGTATGATTTTGAGTTTACATATATTAAAAAAAATCATAAAATTTTAAAAATCCAAATGATTTAATCATAAAATTAAGTCAGAATCCGTTAGAATATCGATTTAATTCAATTTGATTCAGAATTTAGTTTACTTTGGTTTTTCATATGAAAAAAATTAAATTTATTTCGGTTGAAAATGATTAGTGATATATATGAAAGAAAAGATAAAAAGAAACATACTTAGTTGTGTTAATATATAGATCTATGTCGTGGCCTTTCTTGACATTGACAATGGTAGCTGCTACCAAATGTGTTTAAATATAATGAAGAATCTAAAACTGTCGCTGGCCCTTATTCCTCTCTTTGATACATTAGGAGCAAGTCGTAGGCTAGCTATGCAAACCCAAAACTCTTTGGGTAAGATATTACGCTCTTCTTGGTATATTTATTCCATTGGACAACATAATTTACTCTATTTAAACACAGCTCCTTTGTTAGCATCTTTTTTTAAACTCGGTGTAATCTTGGTGGATTTGAAACCCTTCTAGCGGAAGAAGTATCAGTTGATAAGGCAATTTCTAAGCACCTGTACTTGTCCTCCTAGACTGTCCCACTAGCACAAGCACTATCTCTTCGACAAGTTCTCACCATCATTTGTCAACACCTAACAATTAAAACTATTAGGTTTTAACCTCGGGTAAATGAATTTAAGTTATAATAATATAGTGTGGTCTTGTTTTTAAGAAAAAATGGAAATAAAAATAAATGTACTATGGAAATAATTACCTAAAATTATACCACAAAATAGGAGAAAAGCCACATAAAGTTACACCTTGTTAGTGAAAATGCACAAATAGCGAGCTTTCCATTTCTTACAAAAAGAGGAATGAGCTGCGATTTTACTTAAATCTCATCAGGTTGAATATAGGGTGATAACCCTCACGAAGAAGACAGTAAACAATTTTACCCTGTACTTTGTCCCTGCCTAGTGTCCCACTAGCACAAGCACTATCTCACGCCACCATTGTAAATAACATTAATATTAGGTACTATAAATGAATTAGTTTTTTTTCTTTTTAAGAAAAAAAAAATAATGATCATGGAATATTACCTAATATTTCCATAAAATCCCATAGTAACGTTAGTTGCATGGGCTCCATTGGTTAAAGGATACATCTTCTTTCTTGGTGAAAATGTGTTGATTGAAACTCCCTATCAACCAAAAATAAAAAACAATACAAAATTTTTTTTTTTTTTTTTCGAACAATAGTTATTTCAATACATGGTATATAAAATTCTTAATTATCCCATCCTTAAAAGAAATTAACAAGATTTGAACAAGAAGCAAATGATCAAAACAAGAATATAATAAACATTGTGATAATATAAATGGTAACTTACCTCAGCTTTCATGCCATTGCCAAGCTTAAATGGGGTCTTGAACTTCCTATCAATGGTAGAAGCAGCAACTGTCAAAATCCATGGTGCAACATTTATAACAGTAGAAGGTTCAGGCCCCCAATTCCCAGCTGAACAAGAAGTCAAAATTCCTCTTTTCATAGCATGAAATGATCCAATTGCAATTGGGTCCTCGAAATAATTTCTAATACGTTCTCCTCCAATTGAAACAGATATTATATCAACACCATCAGCAATAGCATCATCAAAAGCAGCTAATATGTCCATATCTGTGGAGCCACCTTCTTCTCCCCAAGAAACTTTGTACATGGCAATGCGCGCTGATGGTACGCCTCCACGTGCCGTCCCTTTTGCTATGCCGTATAAGCTTGCGCCTTGGACGGAATTTCCAGCAAGAATGGAGGAAGTGTGGGTTCCATGACCAGAATAATCAGCTGCACTTTGTTCTCCATTAGACCCAAAATCAATGTTGTGTAGGTTGTAGTACTTTGCTCCAATTATCTTGCTACCAAAATTAGATTACAAAATACTCGCTATTAAAAATCAAAATTAAAACACTTGTAAAAAAGAAATATTAGAAAAAGATATATACTTGTTACAGGCTGTGAAGTTGCCTCCAGTTACACATTTCCCCTTCCATCTAGCTGGAGCAGGCCCTAAACCTTTGTCACTGAAGCTAGGAGAATCCACATCAATTCCTGCAAACTAATTATTTTAGCTTAACATAGCAATATAGAAAAAAAAAAGATGTATTTAAAAACTTGAGGCAGTTTTTTTTTTTTTTTTTTTTTTTTTATGTATTTAAAAAGTTGAGGCAGTTTTTTTTTTTTTTTGTTTTTTTTAACCGGAGGTGTAATCCTCCTTGCGTCATAGAGGTTAAAAGTTTGGAGATCAAATTTGTGTTCTTACCCTTACAGGAATGGAGGTCATTATGCATAATTTCAGAAAATAAAAAAGAATAATCTCATCATGCATTAATATTATAACTTCTTACCACTATCCAACACTCCCACTATGATATTGCTCTCCATTCTGGCAATCCTCTTCACTGTTTGTGTCATTCCTAGAAAGTCCCATGATCTTGTTGTGTGAAGTTTGTTATTCTTAGTATTTTCAAATACCGACACTACACTGTCTTCCTCTGCATGTATATCCAAAATTACATAAGGCATATCCTCAAAAAAAAAAATAAGGCATTGCCAAATTTGGTATTTCACAATTTAAATTTTACACACACATATGTACCTAATAGTTTTTCCACTTCATGGGGTAGCAGGTTGGCCACAAATCCATTAAAGCTCTTCCCGTAGCTATGTATTTTGGATTCTTTAGCTATGGATTCACTAGAAAAAAGAAAAATATATATATATAGATGTACATATATATTAAAAATAAAAAATAAAAGAAAACATGTTGAAAAACTACATTCAATTCAAATGAACTATATTTTGTAAATTCTCAAGTTTGAAAATGGATTAGTTTATATGATTCAGTTCTTTTAATATAAAAACAAATGATCTTGAAGTAAATAAAATATCTAAACCGGCTTTTTTGTTGATGAAAATAAAAATAGAATGAAAAATGATAAAAGACTATGATTGTATACTCTCTAATTGTAGACAAAAGCAAGCTGTGGTGGTGATCAGCAACTGAAGTGCTAGCTTCTGGCATGTCTCCCATGTAGACGATGTATGACTGATTTTCATCACAAATTATCAGTTTTAGTGATTGTAATCAAAAGATAACTAATTATAAAATAAATGTAATGATTCTAAAAAATTGAAAGGAAAGTGGAAACGACTGCAGAATGTGGAACGCTAAGCATAATAATATGGTAAACCAGCCAAACCGAACCGAAATTTTCAATTTGATTTTTTGAAAAATTTAGTTCGGTTTTGGTTTTAGCAGAAGAAAGTCAAATGCTCAGTTCAAATGGAATCAATCAAATGCTCCCACTAACAACGTGGGTTAATTTTTTTTTTTTTTTTTTCCCTTCTTCTTCGAAGAGGTTATTGTTTTTGAATAACAATGGCGGAACTTCTCAAGACTTCCCCTCTAAGCACCATAGACATGAGATTCAACTGACATTCCCAAGAATCTAAGGAAGGTGAATCTCACTTTTTTTTTTTTTTTTGAAAAAAGGAAGGATGAATGATACGAGGATTACTAATGATTGGTATATACTTTTTTTTTTTTTTTTGAGTTAAGGATGAATGATACGAGGATTACTAATGATTGGTAAATAATAATTAATAATAACAAAGAAAGCAGCTTATGCATGGATTACAATGTACCTTTCTTTCACTGCCACTATAGACAAGAACCAGTGAAGACGCCAAGTAGAGAAGGAAGAGCAATTGTGTGAGGGTGTGTGCTATTTCCATTTTGTTTGTGTTGTTGGCTCAATCACTAACATGTGAAAAGAAGTGGTTTTAAATAGATGGAGAGAGGCAAAACAAAACTGAAGGCATTGATTATTCTGTTTTAAGACTAGCATTTGGTGGCTTGGTTTTTGGATCTTTGTGCGTAAAATGTGCCTCAAGAATAGAGTGAATAGGTAAAAAAGTAAAAATAAAAGTAAAAATGAAGGCATTGACACTATTCTGTTTTAAGACTGGGGTTTAGTGGCTTGGTTTATGGATCTTTATTGAATGAGTGTATCTAAGGGTGTGTTCATCGAGAGTTTGAACTATTCAAAACACTTTCTGTCTAAATTATTGTGTTCGGTAATTTGATATATAATAAATTTTTGTATTCAGTAACTTGATATGTAAAATAGTTTTCAAAGGTTCATGAAGTGTTTTCTAAAACGTTATGATTTGAGGAGGGGTTAAGAAACCATTATCAATTATTTACAATAAATAAATATTATAAAAAAAATCTATTATGTTTGCTAAAACTATTGTAAATCATATTTTTAAATTATATTTAAATTGTTCTATAAAGTAATTATTTAAATTAAAAAACACACGCATATGGATATACACGTATAAATAATATGTTACGTAGTTCAATGAATCGCAGCCATTTCATACCAATAAATCCTAAGTAATCCCACGTCATCCTAGTTACATCCATACAACCGCAATTAATTTGTAACATCATGGCACATTAACTATACACACAAATAAAAATGACAAGATAAAGTAAATGATAACAAAAATAAATGTGTCTTGTATATCGAAAATGCATAAACTGTATATGCACGCACGTACATATACATTCATGAAATGGAGGTTACATGATTGCAGGTAAATTTTATTGTATATTACATATGGCTAAGGATAGAAGTGGAATGGATATCTGCGAATTTTGAACAGTTTATATTCATATCGGTTTAGAATTTTACTATTCATATACATTTCGAATCAATTTAATTTGAACTTGTTTTTAGAATTTTACTACTTATATACCTATCTCAAAAAAGTACCCTTTAAATGGCTGACAGTATCTACAAATTTTAAATTATCCGAATATTAACTTATTCGAAATACTATTTTTACTAATGGGTACGAGTGTCTATGACCAAATCCATTTAATATAACCAGTAAATGACAGTGGATATCCAAAGACCTTTATACATGTACCTTACCTATATGCATTACGAATAGTAATATGACTATCCATACCCGTTTCAAATGCATATATAAATACCCATATCTTCATTAAACGGACCAAAATACGGCAGATACTCTAAAATACTTGTTCCGTCCATCCTTTAGTATAGCTCTTGGAGAAATCTTCTAATTAAATTACCTTTAGCTAGTTCCCAGAAATACATAAAAAAAAAAAAAAAACAAAATTACAGTAGATTGATTAGAATATATAACAAGCAAAACTAAGACTCACCTTAAAAGACACCGGAAAGCTATTGAAAAATTAACACTCTCCTAAATTAAGCCTGAATCAGCTCGAAAAATGTTGATAAAGAATACAGAAATTGCCCCATATGGCTCTAACAATCTCTACACATATATATATAATTTCCATCCTACTCATCTATCATCATCACAAATATATACTTCTTAAATGAATAATTCCAATTTAATAGCTGATTCAATCCATAATGATTGCTACTGTCTAATAGTAATTTACCAAGGATCTGGCCATATTTTAAGGATTAAAGTGTATTTTTTTCTTAGAATCTAATCAGGATGATAAGATTTCACTCATAATCCTCCGCCAAATTGGTAGTTGAGCCAAGACATCTATTTCTTTAAAATGACCATTTTCAATTTTTTCATTCTTATTTTCTCTAAATAACCCTAAGAATTTTGATGAGAATGGAGACCTAAATTTTTTTTTTTTTTTAATATCTAATAACTCGCGGAAAATTCTCTGCAACTCGCTATAGTAGAATATCTAAACCTCACTATTAAACATAGAAGACGCTGATAACAGTGAGTGGTGGGTAATGATGCAATTATTGGTTATGTGGCAAAAATCCCACATCGAGAAACTAGGATTAGAATAGGGAGTTGTTTGGCTATAAAAGGAGCTTAGCTCCTTAAGTTTTATTCATCCAAAACTTGTCTTTCAATACCTAGTGGGTTAGACAAGTTTCTCTCCTCTCTCAATTTGTATATTTCTTTAGTGAAATATAAATTTGGTAGTGTCCGAGGACGTATATTTCTTTAGTTGAAATATAAATTTGGTAGTGTCCGAGGTACGTAGGCAAAATTGGGCCGAAACCTTCATAAATTTTTAGTGTTCTCTTTTAATTTATTGCTTTTGTCTAATTAATTACTTCTAGGTAAATTCTGTCTAGGCAAGTGGAAATTTTTAAGTGAGACATTTGTGACTCTGTCTAGGCAAGTGGATTTTAAGTGAGACCATTTGTGACTCCTCCACTTATTTGGAAATTTACTTAGTGTAGTTTGTAAGTACAGTAATTCACAAATTGTTTTTGGTGGAAAAAGCCCAATTTCCACAATAGCAATCCTATTGGGAAACAGTGAAGAAATACTACTCCCACAATAACTATGAGTCCTTAGGTAGCGGCAATAACCATAATTTTGTTGTCATTCTAAAATGACTTGTGCAAATGCTGACAAATCTGCAGTTGCTCGCTGTGATAATTCATCAGTCTCATCCTCCACCTCCTCCAATCGTGCTGCTTTATATAAAATTCGCGAACCAAAACTCTGCAGTTTAGCTTAAACAAATTCAAGGAAATCATCCTGAGGAAGAATAGGAAAGGCAAGACTAAGACTGATGGCAAGACAAAATGTATTATGCACAATCTAACCCGAGCATTTTAGCTCGAATGGTCATGGCAGATGCGGATTTTCATACAAAGATGAGAAAAATATTAAGGGAATATAAGGAATTGGGAGGCGATACGAGTGATTACGGGCTTATAGATTATCCATCATTATCAGCAGCCATTATAAGCATCGTATTCTGAAGAGAAAGTAAATAGATGAAGAATTAGTGTATTTCTCATATCATTCTCAGTCTGTACAAGTGTGCTATTTATATTTACAAGTGTGATGTATTTTCTTATTCTAGAGCCTACTGTATTGTATACTATCTTATGTAACAGAATTACAGCTGTACAATATGGGTTAGGGATTTGTTACATGGATCCAGGTATGGTGTATGGGTATAATATAAATACAAAAAGTTATGTTTTAGTTTTAGGTTTTCTGGTTTTGGTTAGAGTTGCAGCTTCTCGATTCTTCCTTCTTGCTTTGCCGTTGATGTTGGTCCTTAGATTGTTCATACTCGTTCATGTTCCCACCAAAATTCAAAATGCCAACATTTGATAAGTATGATGAGACGACTGATCCAAGAAGTCACATAACAAATTTCAGGATGATCATACACTTGCAAACAAACTTGAATGAATGGATATGTAGTGTTTATATGTAACCTCAAAAGATTGGCTCAAGAGTGGTATCATGCGCTAAAGACAAGATTGGTTGAGTCATTCACTCAGCTAGCCTCTTTACTCAAAGCAAGTTTTATTACTAGGATCCTAATGAAGAAGATCTCTAACCTTCTAGATTTGAAGAGAGAAGAGGGACAGTCGTTGTGGCAATGCATCGACAAGTTTCAAAAGCTGGTAATGCAAGTTGACAATCTTGGTCATGAAGTCGCAGTTAGCACAATGGAAAAAATTTTATAAGTATAATAAGTTGTTTGAATTACTTAACATCGATCCGTTCAACTTTTGCAAAACATATGATGGGAGCAAACAATTTTAAATAGGACGAAACCTAGAAAGCACAAAATGCTAATACAAAATGGTCTAAAGATAAGGAGGAGGTTTCAAAAAGTTTCTCACCAATACGACAGTCAAATCAACAATGTTTGTTCTTGGTTCCATACCGAAAAGGGGAAAGTTAAAGAGTAAACCAAGAAGAATTTACTTCTCTCAGTACCAGTCGAACAGAAGTACTAGTGTCGATCGTTAAACAAATCAATAGAATTATTTATATTATTTTAAATATAATTTTAAATAATAAAACTAAAATTAAAAAATATGATATTATATCTTTCCATTTAAACAACATATTTTTACAAAATATGTAAATCTCCATAATAACAGTTAACCCTTTAATTGATTTTGATGACAAAATTAACTTTTTTGAATTTTTTGTACCTCAATTGCTTTTTTAAAAACTTCTAGCATATGACATAAACAAATGAGTACCCTCCGCTATATGGAACGAGAGTATGGAGAAGAGAATGCTTAGATGTAAAAAAAAAAAAAAAAATGTTAAAAAAATTCATGTGTGTTGCCTCATAGTATTTTGGTGAATGGAATACAGAAAAAAACGTGCAAAGGAATTTTTCTATTACACAAATCGGAATTAAGGAATTTTAGTATTACAATAACAATGATTATAGTTTAAGCGCAACTTGTGAAAATAAGCCTAAAAGAAAAACACTTTTGGATGATAAATTCATGAGCTTATTATAAACTTACAAATCCTAGGATTTAAGTTTGAAACTAGAGTTGTTTGTGAATAATAAGAAAGTCGTATGCGATTAATTAATTGAATTAAACGTGAAGTTTATATTACGAAAGAAATAAGTAAGAAGTATAGTATTGAAAATATGCATAATCATGGTTTGGTTTTAAATTTGAATTTAACTTAAATCAAACTAGTTAAAATTGAAACCGGTCCGTGATCAATGATTAAAGGTTTTAAATCATAATTGAAACCGGACATTAAGGTTCGGTTGTATTTCATATATTTTAAAATTAACACCAACGGTTCTTGTTTAAAATCGTTAAAAAATAAAGATAAAAAAGAAAAAAAGAATTTTTAAGATTAATTTCAGTTTTCACTATTTAATGCAATAATTTTGTCATCACTTAAAATTTTTTAATATAAATATAACTTATAAATTTTAAGTGGAAAAAAATGAAAAAAAAAATTGGTTATTTTAAATGTTTTTAATTCAAATTTTTTACATTTTATAATATATATTTTTTACATACAGCTTGTACATTATTCATTTAACATTTAATTTTTTTTTAAACTCTCAAATATAATAAGAAGATATGTTTCTCCTTTAATTTTCTCCTTTGTTTTATTACACTTTTTCTAATAATGTTAGGAATTCCATATCGACTAAATAATAAATCCATAATTGTTACATAAGAGTGACAATCTAATTAGCTAATTTGTTAATACTAATCTTTTAACATTGATTAGCCTAAGTCTACATAAACCCATATCACTTATTTTCAGAACATGGGTTCTTATCTCTTGCCCATTTAACCTCTACTCTTTCCATTTCTAATAAATAATTTAAAACTAGTTTTACTCTTATAGTTTTTTTTTTTTTTAATACTATTACTTATGTTAAACTTTTAACTATTTATGCATGCTAGAAACTAAATAAGATTTAAAAAAACTTAAAAAAAAGTTATTTAATTTCAGTTTCAAATCAAAATCAAATCGAAACAGGTGGTTTTGAAATCTATAATCGTAGTTCAGTTTTGATTTCACCTTCTTTAGGACTAGAACCAGCTATTCTGGCACTGTGTTTCTGGCTGATTGATGAATGAACATTAAGTGCAGTAATGTGAATTACATTGATAAAAACATTAGTATTTGTATTTATTTATTTCTAATACAAATACAAATACAAATATATATTCTATTCTATTGTCCAACTCATATTTTGTATTTCATAAATAAAAGTTCCCTTTTATTCTAAAAAAAAAAAAAAAAAAAAAAGAAAGAAAAATTCAACTAGCCATGTGACGTAGTGAGCTCATCGTCATCCATATCAAACAACATCCAAATCTCATTGACCCTATCATCAAACTCAAATGGAGAATTATACTGTGCAACAGTATAAGCAGAGGTGGCATTTCTATGGGATTTCTGAATTGCAGTAGCCCATACAGTTCCTGCAAGACTGGCTTGTAAGGCAGCAGCTTCCTCTCCAACATTTGAGTCACTTACAAATCCACTAAATTGCCTTATTGCTACATATGTGGGTTTCCATCTTTGAACATGAAGACCTTTTGCTTCAGGTGGATTTGCTTGATTCTCTTTTGGGACATAGAAGCTAACTGTAAATGTTGATTTACAGAAAGGTCCATCACTTGGTGATACTTCAGTAATCACTGGACCTGTCATCTCTATTATTTCTCCATTCTCATTTTTTCCTTGAATATAGTCAAATAGCCTGTCAGAAGAAATGCAACTCATGGTTCAAATTTATAAAAAATAATTTGATGGACCTTCAGTTGAACTACTGTGTTAAAATGGAAGGAAAATGATCCACCTAAACTCGGTCTATCAACCCAGTCATGGATCAAACCAACAGAAAATAATTTGATTTTGAAATATAAAAATGTTTTTAACCATTCACGGTAAAAAATTTTTCTTAAAAAAAAATCTCCATTGTGATTGGTTTGGTTCATGAATTTAGCCTGATATATCAGTTGATCCATAGATTGATTCTAGGTAAAGTAAGTTTTCTTCTAGTAGAAGGATGACAAATAGAGGAAAGAATACCTTAGTTTATGAAATTTGCTACCTGTAAGCATTTTCTTCTAAATTGACAATTTTACATTCTAAAAGTAGAAATCCTGAGTGAGTGCCTTCGAATATAATCAGAAAACTAAATAATAATTTACGGTTTAAAAAATAAGTATATAAACAAACAAATTGGAAACTTGAGAGTAGAAAAAGAAGTAAAAAAAAAAAAAGACAAGTATATATATCTTACTGTAGGAAACCAGTTCTGGTAGCTTCAACGAGGGAGATGTCTTCAATAGGGGAGGTTGACATCCACACCGTAGAGTTATATATGCGAATTTCATAGCCATTGCCGCTATGGATAAGATTGAAAGACGGACACTCTATGCGATTGCAAGTAGGTGGGTATATTTTGGGTTCAGAACTTGAAAGAACACTAAGCAAAACTGATAGCTTGCCAAGCATAAGCATGCCAAATCCACCCATGGTAGTTCTTTCGACTTGAGAGCTTCTTAGCTTAATTACTTCTTGATTGGCTTGACTTGGCTTGAAGATTATATGTGTGTGTGATTTCTTTTGTTGTGTAAAATGATTGAGGTCCACATATTTTTATTTCATTTGTGCGGATGTTATTTATACACGTACCAGAGTAAAAAGATGAAGAAGCAGCTTAATACCCTTCTGTGTTGGGGATTGCTTTTTCTGACTTTCCCAAGGCTAGAACGGGCCGGTTCTGGGCCTCTCGGTCAAGGAATCTGCTCTGACTTGGACGTGGGTGGTGTAAGCCCATTTTGATTTTAATTTCGGTTTTGGTTTTAGCACTTGTTTTTTTATTTTGGGTTATAGTTGGAATCTCCATGGTTTCAAATGGCTAGGCAATTTCAAGTTATTTTCTTCTTAAGTCTATTCGGTAAAATTAGTTATTTTAATGATTGTTAATTGTCTCAGTAGCGTTTAATTATTAGCTGTTTGAACAGCTTTTCATGAAATGTTAAAAGCTAAATATTATATGAGTTAATTTTTCATAAAACGCTATATTAATATCTAAAAAAGTTAGTTCAAACGCTATGCTATCGAACACTATAAAAAGTAGCATTTGTCAAAATGTTAAAAGCTACTTAAAAAACTATTGCCGAACACAATCTTTATCGTGAATTGTTAGTTTCATTTCGGTTTAGAATTGAATTTTCTTGAATCAATTTTGGTTTGATTAAATATTAGACCGGTTCTAGTTCTGAACTGTATCAGGATCAAATTTAATTATTTAAACAGGTTTGAAATTTTAAAGAAAAATTAAGATCCCAAAACAATAAAATTTTATGAAAAATAGAAATCCGATGGACTAATGAGTCATCATTTTCAATCCAATTCAAAATCAAATTTTCCGAAATCAGTTTTGATTTTATTAAAAAAAAAAAAAAAAAAAAATTAAAAAAAAAAAAAAAAGAAAAGATAGATTCTTTTTCCTCTCATGGAGCCACGGGCCAAGTTTAACTATTGTACTTATTAAAAAAAAAAAAAAAAAAAAGATAGATTCCTTTCCTCTCATGGACCACGGGCAAGTTTAACTATTGTACCGTATTTTTATATTTAGATTTTAAACTTAATGGGAGTGAATCAAATTCTTATAACTTTGCAAATTTTCTGAATATCTCTATTCTTTTTATTCCCTTCAATAAACGCATATCTTTATTAATATTTTTCAGATTTGTAATATTTTATTGATACATGCAGTTATGTTTTTTCTTTTTTTTTTGGAAAATTATTATTTAGTCCTTGATATTTGGCCAAATTAATAATTCCGTCCATGCATTTTGGTAAAATTATTATGACACCTCTAAAATATAGTTTGGTCTCACTGTTATATCAATATGATCTGCTTGCATAAATAGGAGATTGTCACTTTGGATCATGTGTACTTGGTGTCATCATTTAGTTTATGGACGGTGGACACAATTGATATCTTATACTTTATGGTGGAAACACTTGGTGTACATATGATGTGGATTCAAATTTTTGGAGGTGTTAAAGCCGTTAATTAATCTTTACTTGGGTTTAAATTTGTCCATGCTCATATTTCATAACTCCATGTGCATCGGAGATTTGCCCGGTCTATATGAAAGGGCATTTGCAAGAATTCGAAGTGGAGAGTAAGAACTATGTATGTCCGCTAATCAATTTTATTAGAGCCGAAAATCACCCCGTTATCAAAAAAAAAAAATCAAGAATTTAAACTATTCTTTTCCTGTTAAAGGAAAAATCAAGAAACAAATTAATAAGATTTATCTATAAATTACTTAATTCTTTGAAAGTACAACAGATTAAACATGGAAGTATCTCCATGTCATTTATTTACTATTACAACACAATCCAATGCCAAAAGAACACTCTTTTTGACATTTACCGGCTGAAGAAGAAGAACATATAATAAATTAAGCCCTACTGAACAGGAAAGGATATGCCATAGGAACATCTAAAATCAAAAACTTCTGGTCATTCTCAGTAAAAATACCAGCAGCCCCACACCTTGGCCTCTCACAAGTAGGGCAAGACTCAGCTGGACACCATTCAAAACTATAATCACCTCCATTATTTCGAATCCTAAAGTAATCAGCTTCTCCTCCTGTCACAATGAACCTCCTTCCCGCTGGATTGACTTCACCTATTCTCCAAGCAGTAGACTGAATACATGTCGTGAAAGCTTGAAACGTAACTGTCAAATCCCTTCCTTCCCTAATAATGGTCTCACTATCATTGTACGGCTTGAATTTGACCGGAAAACCCCGTGACACGTTGGGTGGTGTGAAGGGTTCTTGACCAACGTACAGTGGACATGAGTCGTTGCGTCTGATTAATGTTAAACCACCTGCGACATCAAATATTCCAGACTCAACATAGTATTCTACGCCGGTCTGGACCGGCTGTCCATCAGTGTCTAGCACCGGTGGCTGAGCCATGGTGGTTATGGCCATGGAAATAAAGCAGAAAATGAAAAAGCTCAACTTTGTCATGGTTATTTTGTAATAATTGTTCAATTTAGAAGATGGAATTGGGCAGAAAAAGTGAATTCTATTTATAGACAAGCATTTGTATGGATATTATTATACTTTGAGGCACGGCAATGAAAATTTTCAATTTGTCTTTATCTAATTTGATGATGATTGCTTGTACCATAAGTATTAGATTTAGACTTTTGAAACCCTTCATTTGAAGTTCTAACAAGGCAATGAATATTCAACAATGGCAGTTTGTAGGAGTTCATATACAGAAATAGAGCTGTGATAGAAGGTCAAGTTTTCAAAGTGTATACTTTTACGAGATAAGACTGAAATGCTTAAGCTTAATTTCCATATCTAAGTTATCCAAAGTTACTTGTTCATATTTGGGCGGTATTTCTCAATGCAAATCACTCAATATAAAATTGGGTATTTGTTGACTTCCACAAGATTGTATGTTTTCGTTCATGCAAAATTTGGGATTTGTATGGGAAAAAACAGATACCTTGTAACTTAAAGCAAATTTTTTAATATTGGCTTGCTCATGTGGCGTCGCGCTTGGATCAAGGTGGTATTCAAGTAAAATTTTCCTAATAATAGCGATTTCAGATTACGAACTTTAAATTTTTTATCTTATAGTTATAAAAATATAATACACTTCTATTGACTTAATTATTTGTTGGTAATTAAAATTTTATTTTCATTGAATTTGATACCTTTTTATTGTAAAAGTTTGAAACAAGAATTTAGATTATCTTTCTTTTTTTCTCTTTTTTTTTCAATAGCATCTAAAAGTATTAATTTATATTAGCAACCTAAAATATCAGGGTAGCCACAATTTCACAATATTTGGTCCGTTCTATCAATTTTATTCTGATTTGATAGTTTATAGGAATATCTCAAATTACCATTAAGAATGAAACTGCAAATAAAAAAGATTTTTTTTTAGTGAATGTTCTCTCCAGCTATAGATTAAACTTAACTCAACCTACTTATATTACGTAAAATAAATTTATAAAAACTAACATGCCTAAAGAAATTAACAAAAATGAAAAAATTCGGCTTTAAGAAAAATATGACATGAAAATTTTAAATATATATATACAAAATATTGGATGAGTGGTTTGACATTTTTCTCCTAATCCTCTTGTATGCAGCAAATATTCTATGAGAGCGTTTTACCCCTTAATAGGCGGACCTTATGCAAGCAGGATTTAGCTGATTCATATCCAACAGCTAGCTTATAGGTATTTGATAAGGTTTTTAAACAATTGTTAATTGATTTGAATATTATTTTATTTGCACTCTATTAACCTCAAAAAAATAACTGCTAACAAAATTTCAAATTAATATTTTTATGATTATTTTAATTATTGTTAGCCTAAAGCTATTTTCGGCGATAACATTTGAGGAAACGTTTAGAGTTTTGACTATGTTAAAATACTGTTTTGTAGAGTATCTCTTTTGGTAAGGTAATATTTACAATAGCTTTTAGTGAATAATATAGCATTTTTTAATATGTTATTCCACTTAATATTTAGCATTTATATATTTTTTATTGAAAATTTTTTGACAACCCTGCCCTTGATTAACCTACAACATTGGTTAAAGTCTTTCTTTCCAATTTATTGCTATGGTACTGCAAGTCTGCAATTATGTTGAAAAATTACATTATTTTATAAAAAAATTTAAACAAAATAATTTAATAATGAATTAATAGAAAGACATGTAAGAAAATTGTGTTATCATTTTAGAAATATTGATAGGGATTTCAATCAATGTAGTTAGACTTCACCTATAGATTAACATTCTTTTGACTGAAAAATAATAACACATTATATAAATGATCTCTCTTTTTTTTTATAATGAGTTCGCTTCTATAATCATGTGTTAAAATTCTAACTCAATATTCAAATGTCATTTTATCACTTTAAATTCAACAACTAATCAAACAATTATTTTTAACCGAATACTTTTACTTTAAACAAATATATAAACAGCTAATAATCAATATCTAACCGTTAACAGGTAATAAAATAACTAACAACTATAAAAACATCTAGTATTATCAAGCATGCCTAAGTATACTAACAACAGTGGTTGTTGGAGATGCTAGTAAGAATTTCAATTAACCTTGCTTTTATTTTGCATCTCTCTCTCAAATTAATTAATAATGTTAAATAATTAATTGCAATTGATAATATTAATTAATTAACCTCTCAATCAAAATCACAATAAACTATGGTAAGAGAGGTCCCACTGAAATTCTTTTTTCTATATGGAGTGTTATTATTCGTGATTGCAATTGAAGTTGCTATTGCTACAAAAAATTGGGAGGGATGAAATTAATAAAAATATCAAAATATGATGAAATTATAAAATCTCATGAAGTTCAAAGTCTTCGGTCAATATTTTTTTTTTTTTTTGGAAAATAATTTTTAAAAATAAATTGTTTTTTAGAAACAAATAGAGACTTAAAGTTTACAATTTCATAATGCTAATGCATTTGAATTGAGATTGAGGAAATACTATGTAAGATTTTAATGACTTGGTACTTCTATTGCAGGTCAAGTATTTTGTGATTGATAATAAATATTTAAATATTAGTATAATATTAAATAAATTTAGTTCAATTTGTATTTTTTTTTTTTTTATAATAATAATATTGCTTAATTATTAAGGTCAGATTATAACACATCCTGGATAATAGACTGAAGGATAAGATCCCACTCCACCGGACCAGAGATAGAACCAGCTGCTCGAGTTAGAACATGAGCACGTTTATTCGCTAATCACTTGACCAAATTAAAAGATAAAAGAAGTAAAATCCCTACACAAAGACTTGCACTCTTGAAGTAAAAAGCCAAAATAGGACAAATCCTGACACTGTTGTTGAGGTGCCATCACCATGCTCAAACAATCACATTCCACAACCAGCTCCCCCTTATGCCCGACTGCTTCAGCCAATTTAGAACCTCCCTTATACCCATCAACTCTGCCATCTCAGCATTAGCACACAAAAAGCCAAACACCATAGCACCGCCTATTGTACTACCTTGCACGTCATATACTATCCATTCCATGCTAGCACCCCGAGTCGACGAGTTCCAAGCTGCGTCAACATTTACTTCTAACACACACCAGCAGGCGGAGGCGACCACCGTACCTGATGTTGCACTCGTTGGCGACGCCGGCCTACTGACATCTGTCGGGCCACAGTCCACTCTTGAACCGCTACCACAGCTTTCCTAACAGCTCCAGCAGGTTGACAAAAGCTCCCTCCCCATACCACATGGTTACGATTAAATCAGGCTTCCCAAGCTTGAAAAAATAAGAGCTGCACCTACTGCATATCATAGTGCTGCAGAACCATAGCCATCCACCCCATAATCGAACCATCAAACTGCCACCACCCCAATGAAGACCGTGACCATAAATCCTGTGCAAAAGAGAAAGTCCAAACTGCATGGAGGGATGAGTCAATAGCCAAATTACAAACAGGACATAACAAGCCGACATCCACATTACTTTTCCATATTGCTAACCATAAAGCTGCTGGTATAGACGAACTAGACTGCCATCATTATAGAGCAACTTGTACCCTCTGGAGACTGAATAGATGCCTCTTTTATCAAAAAACCAATACCAAGAATCAGACCCGGCGACATTGCCAAAGGGAATTTGTCGAATCACTTCCACTTCATGGGGGTTAAACAACATCTGCAAGGTCTCACCATCCAAACCCGCTGCTCTACACTCATCAAATCCGCCACCAGTAACGAGTCCATTCCTCTGTTGTTTTCTGACTGCGGTGTTTGGCCATCCGGTAACCAAGGCATGCTATAAACCTCCGTGCTCAACCCACATCTGATCCTCCGTTGACATCCTCTTCTCAAAAGCAGCTAGTTAGGGATGGCAAAATCAACCCAACCCGAAATCCAGTCAAACCCGAATTTTAGGTTTTTGATTGGGTTTGGATAGGATATGCGTTTTGAAAATTTTATTTTGGGTCCGAGTAAGGTATGGGTATTGCTATTATAATCCCGAACCTGATCCTGTACCCAAAATTCAATTGAAAATTTTATTATTTTTTTAAAATTATAGTATGAATTTTTTAATAAATTGAGTTACTTGTAGTAAATCATCTATATAAATTATAATTTTATTTTTAATTTAATATAGTGTAATGAAAAATAATTTCATTATAGTTTTCATATATTAATTTAAATTAGTCAAATTTTTTAAAATTTTAGATTTTAACATTTAAAATTTAATTTCTAATATTTGATTTAAATTTTAATTTCAAAAAATGGAGAAAAATCACAATGATAATAGTGATTTTGAGTTCATATAATAATATTTTACGCTTAGTGATTTTATTATATGAGGTTTTTAGTTATTCTATAAATTAACTTTTATTATAATTATACCTGGAGAGTCTGCTACCTTTACATTTAAGTAAAGTATTATGATATTTGGAATTAAAATTTTAATTTACCACTGTTCAAACATTTATTTATGTATTAATTTATTTTCATATTTTTATATATTATATAAATCATTTAGATAAATATTTAATTTTTTTAATTCCATATAATCTAATTTTTAAAAGATATGAGTCAGTAGATAAGTAGTTATTTGTGGGTCATGGATACTCATGAGTATCTGTGGATATACCTAAACTCATTGGATTTGGAGATGGATATAACATTTTTTACCCGATAGGATATTGGGTAGGGCTCGGAGACTGGGGATGAAATTGGGTTTAGATATGGGTATTGCACTACTTGACCGAACCCTAGCCATTGCCATCCCTAAAGCCAGTGTATATACTGGTCCATATATAGCTTAGATTTCTACCCTCCCCAGCTTCTAACACTGATGAATCTTTGAAATATCGAGCTTTATAAATTCTCGATACTAAAGCATCAGGCTCCACTAATAATCGACATCCCTGTTTTCACTAATAAAGCTAAGTTAAAATCACACAGCCGCTTGAAACCAACATCACCATCCTACTTCAACCTACACATATTACTCCAAGAGAAACAGTT